CTGGGCTGCCACCTGTCCCTTCTTGAGGCGAGGAAGGTCAGTGTGGGAGAAGGGAGAGTTCATCCAGGGCCTCTCCTGGGTCAGGTCACTGGAGAGGTTGAAGGAGTGAAGCTTGTTGTGGAGAAACATCCTCACGTTCCAGGCCAGGTCATTGTGTCTGCAGACGACACCACAGTCTCAGTCAGGTCACTAAGAGTTGAGAGTCACAGCTTCACTCTTAACAGCTTAAGATATAACTTAAATAGGTCAGGTCATGGCTGAACAAGTTGACAACATGACTAAAACAGGTTAGGACATGACAAACAGGCCAGGAACTGATTGCTAGGTTAGAGTATAATAATAATATTAATTAATGGTAATATCTTTTTACAGACACGCTAATATAATGGATAAAAAAAAAACACTTATGTATGTGTGAATTTTATGTAAAGATTTACAGCAAGTCTTTCGCTCTCTCGTGAGCGTCTCCAACCACTTGGGCTGGACGGTAGAGCGACGGTCTCGCTTCATGCAGGTCGGCGTTCAATCCCCGACCGTCCACAAGTCTTTGGGGACCATTCCTTTTACCCCCGGCCCATCCCAGACCCTTATCCTGACCCCTATCCCAAGTGCTATATAGTCGTAATGGCTTGGCGCTTCCCCCCCTGATAATTCCCTCTCCCCTCCCTCCTCTCCTGAGTGCTCTCCCGAGTCTTAAGTGTGTGTCGAGGACTAGACTTACATCTCAACACTAATGCGCTTGGTGTAAGCGCATTAGGATTTACACTAAGACTTGGTGAAAATGTTTCCATAAAATTTACAAATACATAATTGTGTGATTTTATCCAATAATAATAATAATAATAAGATATGGTTAGTGCCGACGCCTCACCACTGTGAGGCAATAAGCCTCGCCTCTCCTCTGTAATAGGGGGTGGGAGGATCTGGCGGGAAACTCATCTTTTCACAATATTTTCCCATTAAGGGCAATAACAGCCTCTCTTTTTCCTTGAAAATAGAATCAGCATAACCATATTTCACTATATTACTCCGTTATTCACTCTAAATTGATGTCACCTCACTCAGCGATTGTGTTATAGGGGGGTAATGATAATGAATAAATGGGCCAGAAATAATAATAATGAAGGGTGATGAATATGACGAGGGTGAAGAGTATGAAGGGTTTTTCTTCAATGAGTAAATATCTGAATCTCAAGTTAATGTGATGTTACACACACACCCACATACACACACACACACACACACACACACACACACACACACACACACACACACACACACACACACACACACACACACACACACACACACACAACAAAGCAGCCAAGGTGGAGCCTTGGGGCGCGCCATCATGGAGTCCCCACCTGAAGAAACTCATAAGGAAAAAGGTTCAGAAGTTTGCGACGAGACTTTTCCCAGAGTTATGGGGTATGAAGAGCGCCTGAAGGAACTGAACCTTACGACACTAGAAAAAAGAAGGGAGAGATGGGATATGAAAGGAACATATAAAATATTCAAGGGAATTGACAAAGTGGAAATAGATGAAATGTTCACACATAATAGTAACAGAACAAGGGGACATGGATGGAACCTGGAAACTCAGATCAGTCACAGAGATTTTAGGAAGTTTTCTTTTAGCGTGAGAGTAGTGGAAAAAATGGAATGCACTTAAGGAGCAGGTTGTGGAAGCAAACTCTAGTCATAATTTTAAAACTAGGTATGATAGGGAAATGGGACACGAGTCATTGCTGTAAACAACCGATGGCTGGACAGTTTCAAATGAACAGTATATGTGATAGAGAACAAAAGGCTCCAGAACGTGTTCATCGTTTGATTGGCACTTGAGAGATGGGGACCAAAGAGCCGAAGCTCAACCTCTGCAAGCACAAAAAGCAGAAAGCTGGAACTTACTTCATGAGTTTAGAGAGAGAGGAACTGCTGTAAATTTGAGGAGAGTACTGCAAGGTCTACCAGAATCGAACAGGCACATGGTGGATGTGCACAGGTTGAAAGCATAACACAACACGAGAAAATATCAAAACTAGGCCACTCAAGTGTGTGTATATATATATATATATATATATATATATATATATATATATATATATATATATATATATATATATATATATATATATAATATTCATTTTCCTGTCAGGGATATTCCAGCGTGGACCCTAAGCCTCTGGCTGGCCTGCTAAGTTTTACGGATTTACACCCTACTTAGACGGTGGAGCATTGTTTATGACCCCGTGAATTGTATTCAGTGAGATTAGGCCCCAGTGTGTTTAACAACTTCTTCTGTGCTGTTAGATCACAGTGCTGTTAGATCTAACAGCACTGTGAACTATGTGTCACTGTGTCAGATAATGTTCTAGTGGTGTGCTTGGCATTTCTGCACAGTGTTGACAATTATTTTTCATCTTTTGGAACCTGTAGGGTACATGGGGTATCCAAACCTACTGTTCCCTTTTCTAAAAATATTTCGGTTCTTAGTTGGTTAAATTTTTGTACCAACCTGCAGTCCCTGATGTTCCTAAGTGCTCTGTCTCTCTTAACTATTTTCTTAACATGTGCTAGACTCAGTGGTACGTAAATGTCTATATTCCTTCTCTTGATTGCAAGTTTTGCAGCTTCGTCTGCAGTGTCATTCCCTGGTATTCCTACATGACTTGGCACCCAATTGATAACCATTCGACGGCCTTGACGTTTGAGTCTTTGGATTAACTCTGTATCATTTGGGGTCAGACGTTAGTGCTCTAACGTGGTTAGAGCACTAACGTTAGTGCTCGTTGTGGTTGTGACGTTAATGCTCTTGGTGGTTGTAGTTCAACCCAACATGGCGCCGGCTCAGCGCCACCAGCCCCATCTGGCGGATGATCCAGATGCTAAACTAATCATCCAGTTAAACTCTCCAGTAAATGATAATGTCCGCAAATTAAAATTGACGAAGAGCCTTCTGGACGTGGGTCCTAGATTCCAGGAATCAGAAAGAGAGGAAAGAGAAAGAGAGACACACAGACAGATAAACAGAAGGGCACATAGAGAGAAAAAGAGAAGACAAAGGAGAGATAGAGACAGAGAAGAGAGATAGTGATATAGACAGACAATCAGAAAGACAAGACAGATAACGAGAGAGGGAGTGGGATGAAAGGAGACAGAGGGAGAGGGAGAGAGAGGCAGGGTAAGAAGGGAGGCTAATTAAAGAAAGAGATCACGAATGAACGATAATGGGAGAATGGGTAACAAAGCGGAAGCCATAAAAACACAACATAATGAGATAAATCAGGGGAATGTAAACAAAGGAAGAAGAGCTGTTGAGTGGTAGAAAAAGGCAGGAGGAATGAGAGGGAGAGGGAGAGGGAGAGGCTGGGAGGGAGAGTGTGAGGCTGGGAGGGAGAGTGTGAGGCTGGGAGGGAGATTGTGAGGCTGGGAGGGAGAGTATGAGGCTGGAAGGGAGAGTATGAGGCAGGGAGGGAGAGTGTGAGGCTGGGAGGGAGAATGTGAGGCTGGGAGGGAGAGTGTGAGGCTGGGAGAGAGAGTATGAGGCTGGGAGGGAGAGTATGAGGCTGGGAGGGAAAGTGTGAGGCTGGGAGGGAGAGTATGAGGCTGGGAGGGAGAGTGTGAGGCTGGGAGGGAGAGTATGAGGCTGGGAGGGAGAATATGAGGCTGGGAGGGAGAGTATGAGGCTGGGAGGGAGAGTGTGAGGCTGGGAGGGAGAGTATGAGGCTGGGAGGGAGAGTATGAGGCTGGGAGGGAGAGTGTGAGGCTGGGAGGGAGAGTGTGAGGCTGGGAGGGAGAGTGTGAGGCTGGGAGGGAGAATATGAGGCTGGGAGGGAGAGCATGAGGCTGGGAGGGAGAGTATGAGGCTGGGAGGGAAAGTGTGAGGCTGGGAGGGAGAGTATGAGGCTGGGAGGGAGAATATGAGGCTGGGAGGGAGAGTATGAGGCTGGGAGGGAGAGTATGAGGCTGGGAGGGAAAGTGTGAGGCTGGGAGGGAAAGTGTGAGGCTGGGAGGGAAAGTGTGAGGCTGGGAGGGAGAGTGTGAGGCAGGTCACACTGGTGAGACATCAGTATCAGTTTGTTGTAAACACACCTGCCTCTCATGAGCCTATAGGCCTACTCTGGTGTTCCTAGTTTTATGTTCTGTTTCAGAGCACAGATGTCTCCAGTGTACACAACAGGTGTCAAGTGTACACAACAGGTGTCTCCAGTGTACACAACAGGTGTCAAGTGTACACAACAAGTGTCAAGTGTAAACAACAGGTGTCCAGTGTACACAACAGGTGTCCAGTGTACACAACAGGTGTCCAGTATACACAACAGGTGTCCAGTGTACACAACAGGTGTCAAGTGTACACAACAGGTGTCCAGTGTACACAACAGGTGTCCAGTGTACACAACAGGTGTCCAGTGTACACAACAGGTGTCCAGTGTACACAACAGGTGTCCAGTGTACACAACAGGTGTCAAGTGTACACAACAGGTGTCAAGTGTACACAACAGGTGTCAAGTGTACACAACAGGTGTCAAGTGCACACAACAGGTGTCAAGTGTACACAACAGGTGTCAAGTGCACACAACAGGGGCCAAGTGCACACAACAGGTGTCAAGTGTACACAACAGGTGTCAAGTGTACACAACATGTGTCAAGTGTACACAACATGTGTCAAGTGTACACAACAGGTGTCAAGTGTACACAACAGTGGACACTTGCGCTTGTTCTTACCTAATAGTATTTACTAACTTTGCAGGGCCGAGCTTTTGCTCTTGGACCCACGTTTCCAACTGTCGAATGAAATATATTTTTTCTTTATACTTTTACTCGAAGGAGATTTTCACATTTTCTCCTGTACTTCGTTCCTGTTATTTACGTTACTTCTAATGGCTTCCTCTCACTCCTGTGGGTCACGCGGGTCTACCTAAACATTCTGACTATTTCACCGACATTTCCTGAGTATTTTCAATGTCTGTATCATGTCCCCTCTGTAGTTCTCCTTACTTGAAATATAATTGTTGTCTAACGCCACTGTCTAACGTGGTGTGTCACCTTTGTCTGGCACCACTATATATATATATATATATATATATATATATATATATATATATATATATATATATATATATATATATATATATATATATATATATATATATACACACAGAAGGGGTACCCCCTCTGGTGCAAGTGTAGGGACCCATAGCCTCGGAGAAGAAAATAACGAGTACTCAGAGAAGACTTTGTGGATCCTCATTGAACACTTTGATATTTTCTTCACCAATATATATATATTGGCGATCATTTCGACTGGCTTGCATAGTATTTCATTAACGTATTGTCTGGTTCCTTGTGATGATCAAGTCAGATCAAACATACATTGTTTCGTTAAGTCCGTAGCAAAGTCTGTAGAATCTGATAGAACCTCGTCATGGATCCTAAAAGACGCTCTCAGTAAACTGTGAAGGCACTTGTAATGCACTTGTGGTGGTGGCTGGTAACTGCAGTGCGGCAGAGAGAGGACCCAGTCAACTTCAGGCAGAGAGAGGACCCAGTCAACTTCAGGCAGAGAGAGGACCCAGTCAACTTCAGGCAGAGAGAGGACCCAGTCAACTTCAGACAAGTGTACAATAACGAGAAATAATTACTGAAACGCCTAGAGAAAAATAAGGAATATCAGGGGTTTAGAGAACGGAAGTCATGCATGATAAACTTATTAGAGTTCAATGATGGAATGACACACACACGATCAGAAACGTAAGGGGCGGTTAGACTTGTGAGTCACGAGGAAAGAGTCACTCGCCAGTAAGTGAGGGAAGAGAAAAGGGAAGGGGGACTCACCCGTCAATGAGTGGTGAGTGGGAGAGAAGTTCGCGAGCAGCTTGGAGCCTCTCCAGGTGGGGGGCTTGGGGAGACACCCTCACAGGGAGGGGGCTGGCGTGGCCCCCCGTCCCCGTCCCCGCCACCGCCGCCGCCACCACCGCCGCCACCACCGCCACACTACACATGCCTGGAAACGAGAGAACATCACTGGTTTAGTCGTCGGCTGGTCACTAAGCCACTATTTCACCCTCACTCACCCTCACACGTGTACTCTTTGAGGTCACCCGTACACATGTACTCATTAAAGTCTTCCCCCACACATGTGCTGTTTGAGGTTCCCTCATTAAGGTCACCTTTACACATGTGCTCTTTACGGCCACCCTCACACACATGGACTGGTAAGGTCACCCCCCCCCCCCACACACACACAAACCTTAAGATATACAAACACGTGTATTCTTAAGGTCACCCTCTCATATACACTCTTCCGATCACTCTACTCACATGCACTCTTTAAGGTCAAGTCCCTCACACTGTAGAGTAACCTCAAATATCTTGCAATATTTGCAGTAATTTCAACAGCATATATATATCTTCATTCTATGAAGAGTTGCAGGATAAGGTGAATACCAGGGTAAGCGAGAGGTCAGCTTATCAACACGTGTGTACAGGCTCAACTCTAGGGGCTTCACCATGGGCTCTGATAACAAATTAAGGATCAGATGTAATTAGACTCGAGCAGTGGGTTCGTTATCGGGTGATAACGCCCATTAGCTCCTGTTTCCCACTGACCTCCTATGACTCAGGTCATGACCACAGCCACCTGAGGGTGTGGTTAGGTTATGTAGAACACCTCGTCTCTCACTATCAGCTCTTCCCCTCATTAACAGACCAGTTAAGGCTCGCAATTAGAGTTAATGACTCCAACAGCTCGACTGAGAGATCTGTGGAGCGGAGGCAGCTGTGCCAGGGTGCGGCTGGCAGACGGTCATTGAGGTTTAATATTAATAAACAAACAGTAGATCCTTCTATTTGGTTCATTTTTCAGAACGGATTGTTCTTTTATCGCTAAGACAAAGACAAATCAACTGGTCCTGATAATATTAACTGAATAATATTAGAGGAAGTTAAACTATTGTGTGTGACACCTTTGGTGATATTTCCGTGTCACTCAAGAGGCACAGTTGCACAGGTGTGGAAATTTGTAGTTGTGACACCACCGCAGAACTCTCAGTATCCAAGGGCAACGCTAAATCAACGAAGAATTAACGTAGATTTAACATCAAGTCAACGGCACTCTTGAATACTGTCCCCACCATATGTAGGGACATAAAGCTTACTGTCATTATCAGTCATATACACTTGAGGCTGGAGGTCGGTAAACACACTGACACAGCAGTTCGAGGCTGCACAGTGCAACACAGAGAGCAACATTCAGTGACTCCCAGCAAAGTTTTTGCACAAACCGGTAGTGCTTGACACATGTTCTTGATATTTAAAGTATCTTAAATATTTCCAACGAAGCAATGTAGTTAATATGATGTATCGGGGTATTATGAACAAATTTGTTCAAGCTCGTAATTGAAGATTAACAATAAATGTTCAAGCCGAAAACGGTAGTGTATTATGTTCTGAACTGATTATAAGGATATTGGAGTGCCATGGGTGCCAGTCTTGCTTTATGAATGACACCGTTAATGGCTTTGACTAAGCTGTACGGTATCCAAGCTTATAGACGAAATTAAAGTACAGCGAATGAGATTACAAGGCGATTTAGTTTAAACAGCTGAGTAAGCTGGCCTGACGAATGGCAGGCGAGCTTTAATACTGATAAACATCAAGTCACACACATTAGAACTTAAGGTAATTCTGCCGACTCGCTCCAGCACAAAGAATTACAAAAGAATGCTTTTTGCAGGAGCCATAATTACAAGAGATAATGGGGCAAGAAAGTTATTATTTAATGGAACTTATTTTACGTATAATGTTTGAAAGCTGATACTACTCTGAAAATTTATGAAAATAACAAAAAATATATTATAATTTCAAGAATGATGATGGTGGTGGTAGTGGTGACGATGGTGGTGATAAGTGACGATGGTGCTGAGAGTGACGATGATAGTGTCGGTGATAATGAAGATGACGAGCATGAGGATAATGAGAAGAGCAGCCTTATATCACACCGAGTGAGCCACTCAAGAGGCCACAGTGCTGATCTATAATACCCCAGGAAAAGCCCCCATGGCTCCGACATGCTCATTGTGCCTTCACAGAATTAAGCAGGTTGGGGAAGGTCAGAGAGCTCTGGTACAGGATATTGTGTTTCCCCGAGACGCTGGCGGCTTGGAGGAATATAGTGTGTTACCGAGAGACAGGTGGAGAGGCGAACTGTCTATCTCTGTTAGCAGGCAGACATAAGGGAAGGGAAGGGAACTATCAGGGGAAAAACACCAAGCCATTACGACTATATAGCACTGGGAAGGGGCCAGGATAAGGATTTGGTATAGGATGGGGGAAAGGAATGTTGCCCAACCACTTGGACAGTCGGGGATTGAACACCGATCTGCATGAAGCGAGACCGTCGCTCTACCGTTCAGCCCAAGTGGTTACACAGGCAGGCAGACATAGCAATAGGGGGTAAAGAGAGCACATGACTAGGGACACAGCTACGGACACAGACACGCAAGACATAGACACAAGCTAGCATTGACAGACAAAGACACACACGAACATAGACACACTCAGGCATATCGACACACAAACGCATACACACGCATACAGGTATAGACATGCAGTCATGCAGACACACACACACAAACACACTGTGTGTGTGTGTGTGTGTGTGTGTGTGTGTGTGTGTGTGTGTGTGTGTGTGTGTGTGTGTGTGTGTGTGTGTGTGTGTGTGTGTGTGTGTGTATTTATGGTGTCAAATATGTAGTATATGACACCACGAGCGTAGCTCTCATCCTGTAACTACACTTAGGTAATTACACACATACATACAGACAGATTCAGGTACACATACAGGTACAGACACACAGACGCAGATAAACAGATAGGCACAAACTCACAGAGACACATATACAGACAGGTACATAGGCATACATGCAAACAGCCACAGACACACAGAAGTGTGTGTGTGTAAATCACGAAAATAAACACGTGATTAAAAATGTGACAGTGTCAGATCACGGAGAAAAATTGAAACGGGAATTTCCTTAAGTACTTTCGTATATTAATACATCTTCAGAAGGAGTGTTATGACACTGTCACACACAGAAGTACTGTAAATGGGGGTCTACGATTATCCCCTTTTGCTTTTTTCAGAGGACGGTCGTAGACTTCCCTTTTATATTCAATGAATCTCGACAATGCATGGTCGCAATCATCTCTAATTTTTCGATGAAACTCGACAGGGATAACGGTTGTAGGCCTCCTCCTGTTATTTTCGATGAATATAGGCAAGAAGATAGATATTTTGTAATAGATATTTTTAGATATTTTCTGTAATAGATATTTTTTGGTCCCTTAGAGACTTGCTGTCGTAGTCGGCAAACAATTTTCGGTCCTTTATCAACTGGATAAAGATTGCATATTTACACCAAATATTTTTTTAACAGATAACTGAGGGCAGTGGTTACCAGATTGACTGATGAAGCCACCTAAGGCATGATGATGGCACGGGCATGAATAGCCCGTAAACGGTAGGTTTTTTTTTTTTAAGAGTGAATGTGATTTTTGGTCGTGAATGGAGAAATCTGGTTACCAGTTCTTGTTGTTTTAGATTTAGCTACTCAGAACGACATGCCCATGTAGCACGGGCTATGGTGAGCCCGTAACTGAGTTACTGTGAAGTTTGGGTCAGAGTTTTAAATGAGGGTGGGGGGGGGGGGTTCCTCCTTTTCTCCCGTTTCGTTTCCGCTTCTGTTTTAGCGTATTTTTAGCGCACTGGTTTTAGTCTTGTTTTAATAACATTATCTCGGTGGCGGATATAGATGTACAGTGTTCACTAGTGTGTCCTATTCTTCAAATGTTTTTCTAACCATTGTAGTCGCTGTAGATTGTGCATCTAGTGCAGCTACTCTCGTTGGATGAATGTTTAGTTTGATGCGCAGAGCTTCAGTTGCTGCACATTCCAGTAAGTAGTGCAATAGTGGCGCCTCTGCTTCTCTTCCACAGATATGACACTCTTTAACTATTGGGTTTATTACCTCCCAGCAGCACTTGTAACCAAGTCTGAGTCTGTTTATGGCTACTGTAATGTCTCTGGATATTTTTTTGCCAGGCTTGAGAGAGTAGTACCCAGTGGCTTGTTCGTACCACATCGCAGTGGATCTTCCTTCCGCTACTTTGGCTCTGTGGCGACTTTTGATAGTTGGGAGTATTTTCTTCTTGATTTGCTCCTTAATCTGTGACAAACTTGGAGGTATTTTAACCTGTACAAAAGGTTAAAAAGGACAGGTACAACAGGACAGCAGCTGCTCTTGACAGGTAGAACAGTGGCAATTTTTGCTAGTGAGTCTGCCTTTTCATTACCATCTATGCCAATGTGACTTGGTATCCAATTTAGGATGACTGACAGCCTTAGATTGTGTGCTTTTCCTATATGTAGGATTTCTGTGGTGAGTTGTATATTATCTCTTTGCTAGCTGGATAACAATGCTTTGGAGGGAAGATAACAATGGAGAGAAGATTTAGAGTCAGTATGAATGATGACATCATGTAAATGATTTTCAATTGCATAATTTAAGGCCTTTTTCAGGGCATATAATTCTGTTTGCAATGTTGAGCTCCCACTATTCATGCTCCAGTAAGCTTCATTGTTGTTAGTGTAAACTGCTGCCCCAGAACCTTTCTTGATCAACTGATCCGTCTGTGAAGATGTGATTGGTTGTAGGTCTTGAGATGGTTTACATTTGTTGTTCTGTGACTGCTTTGAGCCTCTGCGAGTCACATGCTGATTTTCTAACTGGCAATCCTTCAATGATTATCTTTAGACTCGATTCTTCCCATGGAGGAGGCTGCCAAAAATGTGTATGTATGGTCGCATATCTTCTCCTTTATTTTTAATGGTCCGTTTCAAGTCCATTTTCTCTAAAATCTTGCCCAGATTATCCATCCATATACTTGTTCTTTATTAAAGGTTTCTGTGTAAGCTGTCTTTGATTGACAGTCTGGCGGTGGTCC